CCCAGACCCTGTGCGAGCGGCATGGCTGCGCGAGTGCCTCAGCAAGGCGTTGCGCCGAGGGCGGCACCGCCTGCGGCAGCTCGGGGGCACGGGGCAGTGGCTGGACCACCTCCTCTTCGACATCGAGCGCTGGAGGCTGCACGAGGATGGCGCGGAGGCGCGGCTCACCGCAGTCATGGGGATACGACGATGGCTCCTCGCGCAGGCCAACAAGATAGTGAGTGCGGTGGCTCAGGAGAGGGCCAATGCGTGGATGGGGTCGCCTCAAGGCCGGCAGTAAGGGTGCAGCAGGTTTCTTGCACCGCATGGCACGATGGCGCCATGCCGAACGGCTCCCTGCGCCCATCGCGAACTACAAGAAGAATGAATTTGAGTTGCCCGACGGGCAGGCGCTGGTGGATGGGCACGCTCACCAGTGGTACCAACTCTGGGCATCGCACGGGGCCGACAGCAGAGGAGAGCATGACCGACCTTGGGAAGGACGAGTATACCCCGCACCCTCGTTCAAGTATCAGCAGATCGGTTCAGGGAGGCAGCCAGGCTGTTCAAGACCAGCACTGGCATTGGTCCAGACTGGTGGCACCCGAGATGGTGGACGTGGCTATCGTCGGAAGGCATGCAGGCGCTGGTCGACCTCGCGGAGTACATACTCCGCCACGGTCATTGGCCCACCCAGGTAGAACTGCTGGCCTACTTCCTGGTGCCGAAGCCGCGCGAGGATGGGCGTCGGCCGCTGGCCCTTCTATGCTCCCTGGTCAGAGTGGTGGAAACATTGATGGCCGATGAGTATCGCAAATGGGAAGAGATGGTGGCACGGCCCTATGACTGGGCTAGCAGAGGCAAAGGTGCGGAGGACGCGATGTGGGACCTCATGCTCAGGGACGAGAGCTGCCCAGAGGACCACATCAACGTAGCTGTAGTGAAAGACTTGTCCAAGGCGTTCGAGCACGTCACTATGAGGCGCCTGTGGGAGCACGGGCGCAAGCTCGGGATGCCAGAGCAGGTGCTCCACTTCATGATTTCGATCTTCACAGTGGAGAGGGTCGCCACGCTGGATGGTGTGGTGGCTTCCTCACGGATGCGAACGTGGTCGGCAGCGGCTGCAGGCAGTCGTGGTGGAACGCGGGCGCTCAAGTGCTTCACCCTCATCTTGCTAGATATGGTCAACGCCAGGTCGTGCCTGGAGGGGGCCAAGAGGTACGTCAAGCTTACGTCGACGACACCGCGCTCCACCTGCAGGGAGAGCGAGAGGCAGTGGTGCACGAGGCGAAGGAGTCAGCGATGGCATACATTCAGGCAGCAGAGGCAGAAGGCCTCCCTCTGTCGCTCACCACGCACAAGAACGGCGTCACAAAGAAGGGCAAGAGCTATGTCTGCACGGCAGACAAGCAGGCCAAGGCCAAGTTCAAACTCTGGGCGAAGGACTGGGGCCTGGAGATACAAGATGTGGGTGTGCAGCTGGGAGTGGACTTCACGGGTGGTGTGGGCGCTCAGCGGCGGCCCAAGCAGAAGGAGCGAGTAGAGGTCATGGTCACTAGGGGCGCAAAGCTGAACATCCTTAAGAAGCAGGGCGTCAGCATGGGCACGGCTACGGTAGCAAAGCTTGGGTTCTTGCCGTCCATACGCTATGGGGTGGCTTGTATTGGAGCGCCACCGAACCTCATCGAGAGGGCTCGCATCGACATGTCAATGGCGCTGAGCGGCGAGGCCATGGGCAAGGATCGCACCTTGCGCCTGTGGCTAGAAGAAGCCGGCCCAGCGGTGAGCCTCACCATTCACCAAGTAGTGAAGTGGGCAGAGGTGGCATGGAGTCGGGCCATGGACGAGCAAGCCATGGTCGCGGCATGGAGGAAGGCATCAGCGAGGCTGGCCGCGACAGGCACGGTGGCATGGTCGGCAGTCAGAGGACCAGCAGAGGCAGTCCCGAGGACCCCGCGTGGCCCCGGCTGGTCATGACCTGCGCCGTGGACGCTGCTCACACCAGCGGGTGACCAGGTGTCCTTGCACACGGTGGCGCCCAAGACGGTCAGGTACAAGCTGGGGAGGGCCGTCGAGCGGCAGGTCCTCGCCAAGTGGGCCAGGGCATCGCCGAGGAGGTACCGATGCCTTTCTTGGAGCCCGTGAGAGCGCTGCTCAAGAAGCGCAGGTGGGCTGCGCATCAAGGCGCCATCAAGGCCTACGTGGAGCAGGACTACTGCGCGCAGGCCAAGCTCCAGCAGCCAGGCACAGTAGCGGGCGGCATCTGCCAGCAGTCCATCCGCGCGCTAGGCACTCAGAGGTACCGCTTCGGACGTTGCGAGGCCCATGAGGAGAGCATGGCCAGGCTCGCAGACAAGCATGCGGGCATCGTGCAGCGCGGCCTGGTGGCGCACCCCATCCAGGACATAGAGAGCGACGCGCAGATCGAACTGTACCAGGCGGTCAACGCAGTGGGCGACGACGTCAGCGAGGACGACGTCATGCCGTTCATTCCGGGGGTCTGCTTCACTGACGGCTCGGGCAAAGGCACCAACACGCTCAAGGGCTACGGCTGGGGCTACATGTGGTTTCAGGAGCCAGCGGGCGTAGGCCAATGCACGGCGCTTGGAGGAGCGAGCGGTAGCCTGCCAGGAGTACGAGCTGACCTGTCGGTGGGGCGGGCTGAGCTCCAGGCCATCTGGCACGCCCTGAGCAGAGCAACGGCACCCACCATGCTGGTCACCGACTACGAGATGGCGGTGAGAGGCATGAGGAGGGGCCGACAGTGGTGCACGGCGCCGCAGAGGAGCAATTGCGACATCTGGATGCGCATCTGGAACGTTGTGGATGAGTCCTTCCCGAACATGGACGGCCTCACGGTGGTGCATGTACGCTCGCACGGCAGAGGGCAGAACGCTTCCCATGTGCACGGCAACAGGATCGCATATGAGTTGGCGGTCGAAGGAGCGCAGCTGGCCATGCCGCCGCAGTGGCAAATAGACGTCTGGCAGGACCGCTGGAAGACAGTACAGCAGGTGCTGGCCTTCGTGGCAGACGTGGCGGTGGAGGTCGGCGACTTCGGGGACGTCGCGCTGCCCGCAAGCGAGGAGGCACGAGTGCAGCGCCGACGAGAGGCCCCGCTGCGGGGGCGGCAACCTGAGGCCAATGAGGCGAGGCCTGCCGTGACATCGGCGAGGCAGTCCATGGCTACAGGGGCGACAGCGGTGGCGGCGGCAGCGGCGGCGGCAGCGGCAGCAGGCGCGTCGCCGGAGGAAGTGGCTGCCGCAGCTGAGGAGGCTGCGAGGGTGGCGACGCAGCCAGCTGCAGCAGTCGCAGCCGCAGATGACGAGATGGAGGACGACCACATCGAGGACGACGGTCGCGGTGCGGCTTGACCGAGTGCGCCTGATGGCCCTGTGGTGCGAGGTCGGCCGCAGAGCCCGACGTACAGGAGGCACAATTTCGTCACGGAAGATCAGTGGCACAGGTGCCTGGACTGCGGCGCGCGCTCTCCAAGGTGCAGGGGGCCAGAGCGGCGCAGTGCAAGCGCCAGCGGCGCCTCGGGGCGCGGCAGCGAGTGATTGAGGGTGGCTCTGTGCAAAGGAGCTGCAGCCGTGGCCGAGGGGCCGCGGCGCCCAGCTCCCAGCCGCGCGTGCCTGATGCGCCTGCCCCTCCCGCGGCGCCTCCCGCCGCTCCTCCACCACCTCCCGTGGGGCAAAGCACGGGGCCTGTCAGTGCTAGCGGAAGCGTGGCCAACAGGGCTGCAGACCCAGCGCAGGGGCACCAGCTGCATCGTGCAGGGCCGTGCACATTTTGTGGCCGATGCGGCGTAAGGTGCTCTGGGCGCGCCTTTCCGTCCCTAGGTGACCGCTGCCAAGGTCAGGCGGCCTCGAGACAGGTCACCTGCGCGAAGACGAAGCTGCTTGGCACATGGCACCCCGCGAAGGTGGGCGTGCGAGTGGCCGAGGCAGCAGCGCGGCTCACAGACAGTGAAGTCCGCGCCAGCACAGCTCGCGAGCAGCCGTTGCGCCGCGTAGCTTTGCCACGGCAAAAAAAAATGAGCACGGTTAGAAATGAACGACGTGTAGTCTCTCGTGCTCCGGGCTGATCCCGTTCAATCCAGCTTGATCCCGCTTAACCCGCGGCCGGATCCAGCGGAGCAGCCCAGCAGTGGGGCTTGCAATCGGGGCCCTGAAGAAGGAACCCTTTTGGTTTGGGAGGGGCTCCGTGCTCCTTAAGTGTTTCGCAGCTTGCCTCAGGTTTTCCTCAGGTTTTCGATCGGAAATCGAACTTTAACTCATGGAAAACAGGGGCCTCGTTCCTTATTTAGGATTCCTTAGGTCAACGCCCCGACTGTACTCCTTTTTCATCCTTTCGACGACGACCTCCCAGCAGTTGCCTCTCACTCTTCCTCCAGTTACCCCCAAAAAACAAGCCTCATGACCGCCTCGCCGCCCTGCCCCGGGACTTGCGCTGCATCTTCGGGGGGCCTCGTCCTGTCCCGTGACTCTGCCTGTCTTCTCTGATGCTCGGCGCGTGGTCGGCGCGGCTTCGGCGTGGCATCGGCGTGGCCGCGACGCGGATCCGACGCGGACTCGACGCGGATTCGACATGGACTCCACGCGAATTTGACGCGGCCCCTCGAGAGTGCAGCATACCGCAGGTCTAGAGGCTGACACCAACACCAGTTTCGGCGGTGTGCCTCCACCGAGGAAGAAGATCCCGATCTAGGTGATGGCGGTCATGTTCTGGCTTCCAAGGTGGCCGGAATATCACCACCAACACCGAAATCCAGGATCATCCTCCCCCTGTGGAGGCAACCCCCTGAGTTGGTGTTGGTGCCCACTTCCAGGCCCCCAAAACATACAACGTGGCCTCTCTTCGGGTCCGCCCCGCTCGTGGGCGCCCCCGCCCGCGCCGCCTCTGCAGCGCCCGCCCGCCTCCACCCCTCCTGCGGGCGCCGGGCCGCGCGCCGGACCTCCGCCCCCACGCCCCCGGAGGCCGTCGGCGTTCCGGCCGCTCCGCTCCGGCATGGCCGCCGCCGCCGCCGTCATCGTCATCGTCGTCGTCGTCGTCGTCGTCGTCGTCGTCGTCGTCGTCGTCGTCGTCGTCGTCGACGTCGTCAATGTCGTTGTCGCCGCCGTCGCCGTCGCCGTCGTGCGTGTGCGGCGGGTGCCGGCCGCGGCGGAGGCGGCGAGAGCTGGGGGGCGGCGCGTCGCTTCCACTGTGTGCCCGCGGTGGGCACCTGCAGATGTCAGGAGGGTAAGAAAAACACAGACAGAATTAATCGTCGATTCCCAAGAAAATATGGGAAAATATGGGAAGGGGGGGGAAGATAAAAACCCAGAAAATATGGGGAAATATGGGGAATCCTTTGATTTGTGTGTATTTATTAGTGTGTCCTGGTGCCCCTTCAAGATGGGCGGTGGTCAGGGCAGACCCGCGCGTGACGGGTGGTGGGAGACGATGGTGGCGACGACGATGGCTCTAAGTCGGGCGTGTCCCACTGATGACAGGAGGAAGACTCAATAATAGCTAACGAGTAGTCCGAGGACGAGTTGTCGGCTGTTTTTTGGCCGTGCTTGATTTTTGGTTTGTCACTATTATTGCTGTCGCCTTCACAATCTTCCCGTGAGGGGACATGCCCGACCTAACGATGGCTCACCGAGCGCGTTCCACTACTCGCAAAGTGCCTACTCGCAAGCGTCAGAAAACAGAAAAACACACGTATGCCTCGATGGAGTGGATCGTAGCTCCCCCGCGGCGGATCCATGCCATTTGCGAGTGGTTACTCTGCGAGGAGTGGAACGCGCTTGTCTAATGGCGTGGCCCTCGTCGCCGCTGACGACGCCTTCGATGGCCTTGGTGGCGATGACGACGTCGTCTTGGAGGCACCTGGGCCTTTTCTGGTCTTCGTCGCCACGGCCGGGCGCGGCATTGTTTTTTTCTTCAGTTGTCACTGGGCGTATTCCACTACTCGCAGTCTGCCTACTTGCAAACGTCAGAGAGAAAAAACATGTTCGCCTCAATGTCATGGACTGTGCACATCCCCCGCGGCGGATCCATGCCATTTGCGAGTAGTTACTTTGCGAGCAGTGGAACGCGCTTGTCTAAGTTGGTCAGAGAAGTGGCCGAAACGAGAAAGGAATGGCCTCATCGAATTCTCCGAGCCGCTGGATGAGGTTCCCGAGTTCCTCAGAGGCCCCATGAAGACCCCAGAGGTTTCCGCACCCCGCTGGCCCCAGTAGGTCGTTGGAGGCGAAAAGATTGCCCAGACGCGCAAACTCTTCCGTCGTCCAAGTGTCTCGAGCCTCGAACCTCGAAGGCTCTGGCCGCGCGAGAGGGGGGCATATATCGGAAGGGGGGAACACCTGCTTCGTGCAGGCGGTTTCGACGCGTGGTCGCTCCCCGGCGCCGTGAAGATCCGCTGCGTCCAGCTGATTCCTTGCCCCCCCGTCAACAGGTTTCAAGGATGGAGTCCGGATGGTTTTCAAACTGTGGCTCTCGCCTCAGCGCCGCGCACATTCGTTGTGAACGCTTGCAACAGGTTCAATGATGGAGGCCAGTTTGCTTTCAACATGTGGTGCCTATTCGTCTCAAACATGTGCAACCGTTTCAAGGATGAAGGCCGATTACTTTTCAACATGTGGTTCTCGCCTGAGCGCCGTGCACATCCATACAATCCAACCCTCACAATCCTGCGCAGCAGCTACTTTTCGGTGCACCACCGTCCGACCCAACCCTCACCATCCTGTCAACAAGGCGAACTCTGCTCACATCCGTACGGCCCTTACCATCAGACTCACAAAGAATCGGTGCACGTCCATCCGAACCAACCCTCACCATCCTATGCAATCTGTATGATCCTGTGTACTCCATACGACCCAACCACCATCGTTTTATGTTTGAAATATTGTTCGGTGCGCGCCCACCCGACCCAACCGTCACCATCATATGTCACAAACACAGTCGGTGCACATCCATCCGACCCAGCCCTCACCATACTATGTGCAATGACTATTTGGCGCGCATCTGCTGACCCCCAACATCGACCCACCTCCTTGCCTTAAGAACCCCTCGGCACAAAAGCCTGAACAAAGCAATTTATCTTTAGCAAACACATGACACTTCGGTGCTTTTAGGGCATCCCTCGTCGACTCCGATCTTGGGCCAAAGCGCTCCTCAGGCTGTCCAAGGCGCTCCCGGACGCTCCAAAATACACCCAGGCGCGCCCAGACGCTACAATCGCCCCCCTAAGCGCTCCTATGCTCGTCGTCGCCGCCAGCAGCAACAGCATCCACATCCTCAGCTTCATCGTCCTCGCCGCCGCAGTAGGCATCAAGGAATGCATGGATTAAGATTGCATTTGCGCGTGGGCCGCAAACGATTTTCGCAATGGGTTTCTCGCTTTGCTGGCACCGCGCGCCACCGTTTTACACAGCCGAATGAATAGATAGAGGGCGGGTGGTTTTCAGAGAGGATCTCTTGCCCTGGCGCCGTGCATACTCGGCTTCCAAAGTGCCCTTAGCTGCGCGAGTGGGTGGCGAGTAATTTCCATGACGGTATGGGCATTGGACAAGGAACCCGAAGATATGGAACCCAGGATTTGGAAGTCAGTGGGTCTCCAATCGTGGATCGGCCATGGATATCGCCGCCACCGTCATCAGATAAGGGGTCTTTTAGGGTCTGCAGCCTCCTGGGCACATTCTTTAACGAACCCTCCACCGTCGCGCGCGTTCGAATCAATTGTCCACGGTCGACACTCGCTTGACCGTTCCCCTTCCTCGACCTCTCCGACCTGGCGTTCCATATTGCGCAACATCTAACACGGATGGAGAGCGTCTCCTCTTTCGAAGCGGGGTTTTCGCGTGGGGCTTGCGAAGCGTGCATCCGCGGTTTTGACGTCCTGCAACGTTAAGACGGATGCAGCACATGAAACAAAAGTTTCCGCGTGGGGTTTGGACGGACGGAGGGCATTTTTTATTTTTTATCACAACATATAAAGTGGGGCTACCTTGGGCGTCCTTCTAGTGGAGGGAGGATCCTTCACAACAGGCGCCCTCGTCTGACCGGCGGACCGGCCTGGCCACTCGTAATTCAGAGGGGGCGCGCGCAGTGGAGCGGAACACTTGTGGACTTGCGAGGAGGGTTTTTTGGATGGGAGGGAGTATTGCAGCATCGGTTGGTGCATCCTGGGTTTACTCAGGTCCTCCTCCTCCTCCTGCTCCTCCTTCTCCTCCTCTTCCTCCCCCTCCTCCTCCCACCCCTTCCTCCTTCTCCTCCTCCTCCTCCTCCTCCTCCTCCTCCTTGTCCTTTTCCTCCGTCGCTCCCTGCTTCTCCTTTTCCTTCTCCTCCGTCTCCTACGTCTTCTCCTCCTCCTCCTCCTCCTCATCCTCCTCCTCCTCGTCCTCTGCTTCATCCTTCTCCTCCTCCTCCTCCTCCTCCTCCTCCTCCTTCTCCTCCCTCCCCCGCCTGCCCCGACAGGCTCGAACCCCGCCCCCGCCCTAATGGGGCGCAACAGAGGCCACGGGGTGGAGGGTTTCGGGGGGCCGCGGTGGTGCGAACGGCAGCCGCCGCCGCCCGCTCCTCGCCCAGGGAGCAACATCTCATCCGAGCAGGGGCGGCGGCACGCGCCACCGTCGCGGAGGCGGGGAGCAGAGGCAAGAGAGGATATCGCTACAGGAACGCAGAATGGCATACACAGAACATCTCGGAGGTCCGCGCGGATTTCTCGGATCCGCGCTGGACCCCCCCTGGCGGCGCCTCGGGCGCCGCCCCTGGCGCGCTCCGCGCGCCAGGGAGAGGGGAGAGGGGGTCCAGCGCGGATCCGATAGGGAGCCACATGCGAACCCTACCCCTACCCCCCACGATTTTTGAGGGGGAGGGTGGGGTTCACTTCGTTCGAGAGCTCCCGAGCGAAGTGACCCCTCCCTCGGAAATCGGGGGAGGTAGGGGTAGGGTTCGCATGTAGCCCCCTAGAGAGGGGGTCCAGCGCGGATCCGAGAAATCGGCGCGGACCTCCGAGCATTTATGCTCATGCCATTCTTCGTTCCCCTATAGTCGTTCTCGGGGCGAGCGGGGGAGGGCGGCGGAGGAGGAGGAGGAGGAGGAGGAGGAGGCGGAGGAGGCGGAGGAGGCGGAGGCAAGAGAGGAAATCGTTCGCACTCGGAAAAAAACAAAGGGGCGAGGGCAGCAGGTCGCGGCACCGAAGCGGGCGGCAGAGTGGCAGAGGCGGGGCTGCAGCCGCGTCCCCCTCGCGCCCAGGAGCGCCGCGGGAGGTCGAGAGGACGCAGGCCGGCGCACCCCCTCCTGCTTCGGAAGCTGGAGCATCTACATCACCAACGGCGGGCTGTTCTTCAATCCCAGTGCTTTTTGATGGTCGGGGACGACGTCGTGTGTGTGTGTGTGTGTGTGGTGTATACTTGTTTCCCCGCTTTCCTGGGGAAACAACAACAAATGTATACACCAGGATCCCGTATACACCAGGATCCGCTGTCCTGTGCGAATTTCAGTGCGGGGCCGGAAAAAGCGTCGGTGTATAGAGTTCGGCTCCTTACCTGCTTCGGGGTTCAAGAGGCGGGGGTCAGTCCAAACGGGGGTCGGTCAGAGGGCCAGATCCTGCAGGACTCTGCAGAGTCAGGGGTGCACCGACCCGGGCTTGGGAGCAAGATCCTGCAGGATCTTGCAGGATCCTGCAAAGCCTGACTGACCTGGGACTGGATTGACCCGTGTGGTTAGATTCCCGACTGCTGCTGCTCGTCTTCCCCCTTCTCCTCCTCAGCCTGCAGGCCTGCGGTCGGGAGCTTTTGGATCACGCGTCGCTCCGCTGGGCCGGTTCTGGCCCACCACGCGTCGGCACGACACAGTATCCATTTTCTGACCCCCAGCGGCAGGTTTCCGCGCTTTTCCGAGCCCCCCGCCCCGCGGAGCGGAGCGACAGACTATCCGCTCGCATAGCGTTGCGTGTCGCTGGGGCCGCCGTGGCGACATGCTAGGCAACGGTTCCCGACCGTAGATCTGCTCGGGCCGCGGAACATCGCAGCGGACGGTTCTTGCCCGCTGTTAGCTGCGGGGGGGCCCTCGCCGTGTCTTGGGGAAGTGAGCAAACATTCGGGATGAAAACCTTTCCTGGGGACAAGGTCGGGACTTCTGGGGACCCCATATTGGAAACAATCAAGACATCGTATGTCCTGGGGCACCCTCGTCCTCGCAGCGCCCCCGTGGCTGGGAGGCCATGGCCATCCTTCCATGTGACCTTGTGACTGATCCTCCAGCTCTTCCCTCCTCCTCCTCCTCCTCCTCCTCCTCCTCCTCCGCCTCCTCCTCCTCCTCCTCTCCCCTTCTCCTCCTCCTCCTTTTGTAAGAGAGGTTCGAAGCTTGAGAGTACCCACAGTATTCTCTCTCTTCGTGCCTGCCCTGCTCGGACTCGTGCTGCCAAGGCTGCGGCCTTGACCGCGTCTGCCTCCGCTCCCCGCGTCCCTGGTGACTCCGCGAGCGGCCAGGCCTTTGGAGGCAGGCCGAGTCATGACGGCCGTGGTCCTGGCATTGCTGCCTGCGGTGACCACCTTTCCTCCTCCTCTGCTTTCGTTCGGTCGTGTGAATTTCGGGAAATGACTCTCAGACCCGAGGAGGCGGCGTCGTTTTCCCGTGGTATGCGACGCCAGCGCAGCCTCTCCCCGAGTAGCGGGCCCGAGCGCCACGTTCGTCCTCGGGTCAGCTTCAAACCGATCGTCTCGGTTAGGGGTGATGCCTCCAAGGACAGAGACCTCGCGATCAGGAATCTCGGGATTCCAGATCGCGAGGGCCCTGCGTTTCGCCCTGATAAGCGTAGGAAGACTGGCGGCTATCGCAGGGACAGGCCGGCCTACCTTGGCCGCCACAGTAGTGCCTGACCGTGCCATGCCTGAAACGGGGCTCGTTCCCGCGGCCGCGGCCAGGGGGCATCGTCTCTGGGTTTCCTCGGGGCACGTATGCCTTTGCGTTCCCTGTGGATTTTTCATCACTGGCACGGCAGGACATTTGTTGGTAGGATGCCCGTCCACCGACCCTACATATCGGCTTTCGGAACGGGCCTTTCAGAACCGGAAGCAGTTTTTGGCTGGGTATCACCCTGCGGACGAGGGCAGACAGGATTCTCGCAGGATCCCTGCGCCTCGTCCTGTACATGTTGCCGACCCAGAAACGTTTTGGGTCAGGCTCCTAGCGAGCCGATCTTCACAGACGGGGATTCGGTTCGCGAGAGTGCAGCACCCTCGCTGGTGTGCTCCCCGCGGACCTTCATCCTCTTGTTTTCCTTGTCCTCTTTATTTAGGTGCCTGCGGGGCTCCGAGATCCTGTCTCTCGGGTGGGGGCCACCGTCTTTCTTGGCACCTCGGGTGGCTGCTCGGGCTGCCCCTTCGCCTGTGCACGCCTGGCGCCCGCGGCTTGACCTCGGAGCGCGGCGTCCGCCAGCCAGCGTCGTATCCTCCTCCTCCTCCTCCTCCTCCTCCTCCTCCTCCTCCTCCTCCTCCTCCTCCTCCTCCTCCTCCTCCTCCTCCTCCTCCTCCTCCCCCCCCCTCCTCATCGGCAGGGGCGGGCGGGGGAGAGACTCCTGCACCTCGTCGCCTGTTTTGCCCCTGCCTGTCCTTCCCACGGCCTGGGTCCCGTGCCTATGCGTGCGTCGGGGTAGGTTGGTCTCCGTGGGAGTGGCGCCCCACGGAGGCTGATCGGGCGGCGCGCCAAGGTGCGTGTCGTTATCTGAGGGCCCTGGGCGGCAGCACAGTGCGGGCCCAGAGCCTCCATGCTGCCCCCAGGTGCCCGCCGCCTCGGAGTTGTCAGAGCGCGCGGCGCGCCAAAGTGCGTGCCGCACAGGCTTGGGAGTATGAGGGAAGGAGCCCGCCGTAGTTTCTGCTCTAGATGCGCGTTTCTTTTCGGCGATAATGGGCATTCTCCGGGTGGGGTGGGGGGGCAGGTCCAGGGGGGGGTATACTGTAACGCCCCCCCCCGCCGTGCGCACGGCGGCAGTGCTCTACTTTATGGGGGGGGAGGGGGGGCCGGGGGCTGTAATGCCCATTCTGCCCAAGCAATAAAGAAACACGCTCTAGGGTGAACGCCGTGTTCGGGAGCGGCCCAACGGGCCAGGGCGTGCTAAGATCTCCGGTAAATGGTTAACAGTATTAACAGTATCTCTAGTTCGCGCGCGCGGGGCGGCCCCTGGGGGTCCCCCGGCGAAAAGTACCCCGACCAACGCCCGGTCGCCGCCCGACCGCCGCCCGACCGCCGCCCGACCAAGTCTACTCAGAGATGGTTTTCCTTCTGGGTGCGGCCTCTCAGGCTCCCCAGAGCGCGCTCAGAGTGCCCCAAGAGGCCCCCAAGACTGCCCAAGAGGCCCCCGAGACGCCCAAAGAGCGCTCGAAGACGCCGAAGATGACCCCAAGACGGCCCAAAAGGCCCCCAAGACAGCCCAAGAGGCCTCCAAGACGCCCCAAGAGCCTTCCAAGAGGCCTCCGAAGAGAGCCCCAAGAGGCCAAAATCGTTGATTTTCATTTGTTTTTTCGATGTTTTTTGTGTTCTGGCTTTTTCGGCTTCCGGACGCTCCAAGACGGCCCAAGAGGCCCCCAAGACCGCTCCAAGACGGCCCACGAAGCTCCCAAGACGGCGCCGAAACGACCCAAGAGAGCCCTCAAGACGGCCCAAGTGCCGCCCAAGACGGACCAAGAGGCCCCAAGACGGGCCCAAGAGGGACTCAGGAGGGATACCGAGAACTCAAAAATGGAGCCCTCCGTCCCAGAAGGCGCCCAGGAGGTCCCAAAGAGGCCCCAAGAGGCCTCCAAGAGGCCCCAAGATGTCGCCAAGAGGCCCCAGGAGACTCCCAGGAGGCCCAAAAGAAGCCCCAGAAGGCTTCAAACATGTCTCCCAGGCGCCCCCGAACGGCCTCTCAACAGACCCCAAGAGGCTCCCCAAAGAAGCATCTTGACGACGACTCTATTTCGCCCCATCGAGAGACGACCCCCAGGGAACTGCTTCACCATCAAAACTCCCCACGCAACGCGTCCGAACGACAGCCGCCCCCAAGAGCGCAACATGGGCAACGAACACACAGACAAAAACCAGCGATGCCATATCACGGGCCGGCGGAATGAGCGAAGCGATTCAATAAAGAAACACGCTCTAGGGTGAACGCCGTGTTCGGGAGCAACAGGGGAGGAACCCGCCTTAGCTTTTGCTCGAAGGGCGAACGCTTTGCTCTTGTGGAATTGTTTAATTGTATCGCACCTTCGATGGCGGTAATCCTCGTAATCCTCCCCCTCCTCCTCCTCCTCCTCCTCCTCCTCCTCCTCCTTCTCCCCCCGCAGCTTTCCGTGCCTCTCGTCCTCCTTCCCCCCCCCCTTCGTCCTCCCCCTCCTCCCATTCGATCCGTCCTCCCGCCCCATCCGGTTCGTCCGTTCCCCCCCCATGGGCTAGATGCCGCAGGAGGAAGAGAAGGACTGAACTGAGGGTGTAGGGAGGCAGGTGGACGATGAGGATTCACAGGAGGAGGAGGAGGAGGAGGAGGAGGAGGAGGAGGAGGAGGAGGAGGAGGAGGAGGGCGGGGTGAATTAGGGAGCAGGAGGAGGAGAGGAGAGAGGAGGAGGAGGAGAAGGAGGAGGAGGAGGAGGAGGAGGAGGAGGACAAACACGCAGGACCAATGAAGGGAGGGGGGACGGAGGAGGAAGATGCCCAGCTGCATCCTTTCCCTGCTCGTCTTGTACTTCTCCAGCTTCCTCCCTTCCTCTCCTACCCCCCCTCCTCCCCCTCTTCATCCACCTCTCCTCCTCCTCCTGACCATTTTTCTTCTCCTCCCCGCCTCCTCCTCCTCCTCCTCCTGCTCCTGCTCCTCCTCCTCCTCCTCCTCGTCCTTCTTCTCCTCCTCCTCTTTCTAATTCACCCCGCCCTCCTCCGCCTCCGCCGCCTCCGCCTCCTCCTCCTCCACCTCCTCCTTTTTTTCCTACTACGACGACGACGACGACGACGACGACGACGACGACGACGACGACGACGACGACGACGACGACGACGACGACGACGACGACGACGACGACGCGACGACGACGACGACGACGACGACGACGACGACGACGACGACGACGACGACGACGACGACGACGACGACGACGACGACGACGACGACGACGACGACGACGACGACGACGACGACGACGACCGCGCCCGACGACGCGCGCGAGGCGTCCTGGGCCGAGGCGCGACAGCTGGCGGCCTTCCTGGCGGTGGCGCGGCCGATCGACCGGCTTCGCGTGGTGCCGCCGTCGCCGTCGTCGTTGGCGCCGTCGGTCGTCGTTCGTGGCCGGCGTCGTTGTCGTCGTCGTTGTGGTGGTGGTGGTCGTCGTCGCCGTTTTCGTTCTCGTCGTCGCCGTCGTCGTCGTCGTCGTCGTCGTCGTCGTCACAGTTCCTCGTTGTCGTTGTCGTCGTCGTCGTCGTCGTCGTCGTCGTCGTCGTCGTGGTCGTCGTCGTCGTCGGTTGCGCCGCCTGTCGTCGTTCGTAGCCGCCGTCGTCGTCGTCGTCGTCGTCGTCGTCGTCGTCGTCGTCGTCGTCGTCGTCGTCGTCGTCGTCGTCTGCGTCGTCGTCGTCGTCGTCGTTTTCGGCGGCGTCGTAGTCGTTCGCCGTCGTCGTTGTTGCCGTCGTCGTTCGTTGTCGTCGCCGTTGTGGTCGTTTTGATTGTGGGCGTTGTCGTGGTGGTGGTGGTGGTGGTCGTCGTCGTCGTGATTCTTGGTGGTGGTGGTGACCGTCGTCGTCGTCGTCTTCGTCGTCGTCGTCGTCTCCGTCGTCGTCGTCTTCGGCGGCGCCGGCGGCGGTTGCGGCGGCTTCGCCGTCATCGTCGTAGTCGTTCGCCGTCGTCGTTGTTGCCGTCGTCGTTTGTGGTCGTCGCCGTTGTGGTCGTTTTGGTTGTGGGCGTTGTCGTGGTGGTGGTGGTGGTCGTCGTCGTTGTTGTGGTTCGTGATGGTGGTGGTGACCGTTGTCGTCGTCGTCGTCGTCGTCGTCGTCGTCGTCGTCGTCGTCGTCGCCGCGGCCGCCGCCGGCGCCGCCGCCGCCGTCGAAGACATGGGCGCGTACGCTGCCTGCGTCAGGTTGCGCGTAAGCACCCTCGCCTCCAATGTGGCGTGCCGCGCCGGCGGCCCGCGTAAGCCACCGCGTATGGTCGCTACGTCATCTCGTGTAAGACCCGTTTTTGATCGTCGCCCACATTGTTCTGGATGGCAAACTGGCCCTGGGGAAAGGGTCGGGATTTCTTGGGACCGCCTGCTGAACACATCAAGAACATCGGGAGGCGGGCTGGGGGTTGGGGGTTGGGGGGTGGCGCTGGTTTGCGGTGCTGGGGGGCTGCTGACACCACCTCCGATGGCTGGGGGGCTGGCGGGGGGGGGGCAAGGGGGGGGTAAGCTGGGAGGACGAGGAAGGGGGAGGGCGAAGGGGGAGCTGGGTGGAGGCCGTCTTCGCGTGGGGTCTCGAGGGCGGTCAACCACACAAGCCTCAGTCAAGCTCGGAAGGCCTCGTCCTCCCATGATGCCCCGTCACTGCCGGGGCCCCGGCCTCTCTCTCTGGAGGGTCTCGCAAACTCTGCCGCCCACCCTAAGTCGACTTCCACCGAGGCGCTCCAGAGAGGGCCTGGCCTTCGAGAATGACAAGAACTTGTCGTCTCCTCCTCGGCGGAAGGTCGGCGGAAGCGAAGCGAGGCCGCCTCCTCCAGCGGAAGCTGGCGGAAGGCTGGCGGAAAGCGGCGGAAGTCAAAGATGCGCCCCTGAGAGATGGCAGCTTTTTTGGGTTCAGGGTTTCTGGAAGCCGCCAACTGTTCCAGAGCGTGCGACACCACTCGGCGCTGCTCCGTCCGGCTCCGGGGAGCAGCCGGGGCAACATGGACCCCGGGGGAATCGGGGGTGAAAAAACATGTTTTTTTTCACCCCCGCGGCCCACGGGGGTGCAACAAAAAACAGGCCTTTTCGACGGCCGACGCACGGGCGACGCATGCGCGACGCACCTCTTGTCGCGAAGGGGGGGGGGTGTCAGCACGCCGGTCGTCTTACTGGGCCTTAACACCCACGGTTTTTTTCACCCCCGCGGGCTTCTTCACCCCCGGGTTTTTTCCCCCCCGCGCCCCCCCGCTCGGTGGCTCGGCCCGCTGCGGCGCCCGCGTGCCCCCGGAGCCGGCCGGCCGCGCCCCCCCCGACCTCGGCAGAGGGGGCCCCTCGGCGCAGGGCCTGCGCGCGAGCCCCGGCAGGCTCGGGGCTGCCTGCCCTCGGCAGGGCGGCGCAGGGCCCCGGCGGCAGCGCGTCCCTGCCCGAGCCCCGCGGCACGGCCGCCACGCGTCTGCCTCGGGCCTGGAGGCCGAGAGAACCACCGGGCGCGTTCCACGACTGGCAGAGCTCTGGGCCTCCGAGATGGGGTCCGAGTAATTAGATGGGGTCGGAGGATCGCGCCGCATCGCCGATGCATCGACGAGGCGGCTCGATGTGGAGCCCGTGTTTCCCCCCACACTGACGTCGCCGATGAATCGCTGACGTCGTCGATGCATCGCCGATGTATCGACGATGCAGCGCGATCCTCCGACCACATCTACTCTGACCCTATCTAGGAGGCCTCTAAAAGTGCCTACTCGCAAACGTCCGAAAAACACGCGTTCCCCTCGATGTAATGTTTATCGTGAATCCTCCGCGGCTGATCCGGGCCATTTACGAGTAGTGACGTTGGGAGCAGTGGAACGCGCTTGCCTAAAGAAGATGAGCAAGCCTCCACATCGGAGGCAGCATGTGCTCGATTCGGCAGGGCGCTCAGCTGTGCGGGTGCGCAGACACGCGTGCCCGCCGAGGCGCAGAGCCACTCCACGATATGGGTAAATCGGGCATGTCCCTCTACAGGAGGAATATTCCAAAATAGTAAAAATAGTCTTGGGACGATGTTTTGAGTACTTTTTGTTTTGTGGGGGATAATTTTTGAGTATTTGAATGTTTTTGATTTTTCGTGCAACCCGACCTAACAATATGGGCGCCACGTCCCATCCCGTACTAATTCAAGTTCGGGCTGACTCTGGAGGAGGGAGGGGGAGGGTGGAGGGGGAGTGGGCATGTCGGGGTGGAAGGGTCAGGCGATCGCAAACATGGATCAAGGGGGCGTGGATTAGCGACGGGTCCCGTTTCCATGGGAAATGGCGGATTTCCGCCGCCGAACGAGGCGGCACTGGCCGCATTTTGGGGAGGGCACCTCCCCCGATCCATGGATTTGGCGACCGCACGCCAAATCCATGTATCGCTAACCTATGTTTGCGCGCCCCCGAAAGGAGGGGAGCAGGTCTTGTAGGATAACCTCAAGGGTCGCAGACTTGCGAGGGGGGCAGTGGGATCAAGTCGGGCCTGTTCCTTTACAGCAGGAGTATTAACTATTTTTTGTTTTTAATATATACATGTATGTATATGTATAAAGCAACAAATTAATAGTCAGGGGACGATTTCGGAGTTTTTTTTTCTGTTGGGGTGTATTTTTGATTTTTCCTACAGGCTCCGCCTGTTTGTAGGGAGACATGCCCGACCTAACAGTGGGAGGGGGGGGAGAGGAAGGGGGGCGAAGAGGAGCGAGCAGGGCAGCACGCGGACCGTCCCTCCGCACTGCGGCGAGACGCATTCGCCCGCGAGCCCAGTCCCGGCGCTCGTTTCGATTCCTCCGATTCGATTCGATTCGATTTCGATTGCTTCCGATTCCGATTCGATTCGACCTGGGATTCCGATCTGTGTCCGATTTCTTCCTGGAGGCATTCCAGCCTGCCGATTTCTTCCGCTTCGACTTTTCCCGACTCGGCTGCCGATTTCCGCCGATCCCATTCATTTCGATCGCAAATCCGACTTATATATATATATATATATATATATATATATATATATATATTCAATTCTGGGCTCTCCCGCCATCCGCGGTTCCACTTACTGTCAGGAACTTTTGCTTTAGCGTGTCGCACCGCCGGTTCTGGCCCACCACGCCTCGGAGCGACACGCTAACTGTCCACGCCCCAGCTCCCAAGTGGCAACTTCCCAAGCATGTCAAAGCCTCCCGCCCAACGCAGCGGAGCGACACGGTTCAGTTCCTTTTTTGAACAGCGCATTTGCTGCTCCACCCTGGGCTCTGGGGAACGAAACGGACTTCCACAGGCCGAGCAGATCGTCAAAGCCAGCCTTCATGACTTTTTTTGTGACGTTCGGATCTGAGGGCTCTCGTTTGAATCTAGCATCGGCCCTGATATACCCGTGGCTCCTTGGTTGGAACCAGCCTCATCCGGCCATTCCGTTCAATCCAGTTGAATTCAACCTCCATCTGACCTGCCTCACCCAAGGCTTGATCTGGCTCAGTTCTGCTTGATCGCCGCTCAATTCGACTTCCCCCCTCTCAGTCGTGCCGAGGAGTTGCCACCCACTCCCCCTCCGCCCTCCGCCCTCCCCCTCCCGAGGCATCCGACCACGTGCCTGTTGTAGGCCCACGGGCCCCGGAGGCCTCGGCCCCCTTCCCGCGGGCAGCTCTTCGCCCCGGGTCCGTCTCCGATGGCCTCGCGAGGGGGCCCGGACAAGCGGCCCCCGGGCGCCCGAATCCCAGGGAGAACGCCGGACGTGAAGAGCAGCTGCTCTTGACCTTTGTCCCCCCTGGGGCCGCTTCTCATCCCGAGCAAGCTTTTGGCCGCTCCCAGGGCTCCCCCCACAGAGGCAGGATGCACAGCGTGGACCCGCGGAGGTCTTGACCCATTCCGCAGGGCTGGTTTGGAATCCTGAGCCGTGTTGTTCACGGTCCCGTGGGCCGGCGAGGGCCCCCAGAGGTCAGAAACATCAGAGAATGTCCTGTCGTGATCTTTCACGATGAGAGGAGGTGGGGGTCACAAGCCCTCTGTCGTGATCTGTTCGCGCCGGGGAGGTCTGAGTACTACGCCCTCCCCCCCGAGAGGTCCTCGCGGCTGAGCGCGCCGCCGAGGGGGACTCCAGGCTGGCGCCAGTGGCGTCGCTGCTCCGAGAGGACCCACCTTGCTCGCTGCCGCCCGCCACTACTCGCCCGCTGGCGGCGGCGCCGCCGCCGCCGCCGTCGTCGCCGCCGTCGTCGCCGTCGTCGTCGTCGTCGCCGTCGTCGTCGTCGTCGTCGTCGCCGTCGTCGTCGTCGCCGCCGTCTGCGTCGTCGTCGTCGTCGTCGTCGTCGTCGCCGTCGTCCTCGTCGTCGTCGTCGTCGTCGCCGTCGTCGTCGGCGTTGTCGTCGTCGTCGTCGTCGTCGTTCGCGTGGTCGACTTGCTTGCTGTGCCCCTGCGCGCCCCGCCCCGGGCGCGCCCCTCGCGAGCGACGGGCCCCGACGGGGCGAGCCGGCACCTCGAGCCGGGTTGCGTCCCTCTGATCAGGGGCGACTCGAGCCACTCAGTGGCTCGAGCTGGAATTAAGTCGGGCCTGTCCCTCTAAAGGAGGAGAGTTCGAAAATAGTAAAAAACATAGCCTGGGGGCGATTTGTTTAAAAGTTTTTCCGGGTATGCTTTCTGGGTATGTCTCGACTATGTTTTATTTCTCGTCCAAAGTAAAGCTGGAATGGCTGCCGAGCGGGGGGAGAAGAGGGTCGAATACAGTCGGGCCTGTCCCTCTACAGGAGGGAAATTCAAAAATGGTAGAAAAATGGTACGTTGACGATCTTTTACCATTTCTGAGCAGTTTTGGTGTACTTCTCGGGTTCGCCCAAAATCCCCCTGTATAGGGGGACAGGCCCGACCTAAAGAGTAGAGCAGAGGGTGGGAGGGAAGAGCGAGAGAGAGAGAGAGAGAGAGAGAGAGCGAGAGAGAGAGAGAGAGAATAATAAAAAGAGTGCGCTCGCCTGCTCGACGCCTGCCGCCACGGGCTGGCGGAGCTCACGGCCAGGCCGGAGGCAGGGGCCAGGCGCCGTTGGGCTTCGAGGAGGAGTCAGGCTCTGCCCTCCCTCGCGGTTCCCCCCCCCTGCCTCGAGCCTGCTCGTCGCAGGCCTCGACCGCGAAGCCGTGAAGCCGGGGGAGGAGGAGGAGGAGGAGGAGGAGGAGGAAGGAGGCGGAGGAGGAGGGAGGAGGAGAGGAGGAGGAGGAAGGAAGGAGGAGGGAGGGGATGATGAGGAGGAGGAGGAGGAGGGGGAGGAGGAGGAGGAGGAGGAGGAGCGGGCGAATCGCCGCGGCCGCGCTCCGGGTCGGCGCTTGCGGCGGGGGCGCACCCAGTTGGACGCGGCCCTCCTGCGCGGGGTGGCGGCACACGGATCGTGGCCGCCCCCGCCGCGGCGCGCCCTGGGCGGGCGCGCAGGCGCCGGCGGCCCGGGGGCGCGCCGATGCTACGAGCACGGGGTCGTGGAGTGCCAGCGCAGGGCATGGTCGTAGTAGGATGTAGAGGTGGCCAGACCGCCGAGGGGAGTGCCGCAAAGACGAGGGAGCAGCTGGGAGGAAGGGGGGGGGATGCTCCCCTGCCTTCTCGCCAGCTTTCCGTATGCAGGCCTTCGTCGGAATTCGCCAGCAAGAGGGGGCACACAGGACGCCTGCCTCTGGCACTCGTGGGCCGTGAGCGCCAGAGACAAGACCGTTCTGAGACAGTGCCCATGCCAGATCATGACTGTACACGGTGTGCGTACCTACGCACGTGCAAATAGTGGTATAGTTTTATGCTGTTCCAACCTACTTTAGCCTTGATCACCAGAAAGAATGTCGAGCACCAGAAAAAGTACCGAAACTCGAGGGTTTTCATGTGTCTTGCCCTAGGAGACACTCGTCCGACACTATTTCGTCACTCTTTCGACACTCTTCCGGGTGCTCGAAATTATTTCCGGGATGTTGTCCTTGAGCACGATGGGAGCAACATTAGTATAGTTGTAGGATCCCGCAACTGGCGATACCACCCACGAAGACGGCGAAGATCCCGTCGTCGTCGCCGCCCAGACCTGTCCTGGAGCGCGTTCCGACCAGGACTTCAAGGCGGATGCACCCGCGGCGACGATAGCCTTCGGAGGCGGCCAAAAACAAGGTACTCTTCCTCCTCCTCCTCTTCTCCCTCCTCCTCCTCCTCGTCCTCCCCCTCCTCCTCCTCCTCCTCCTCCTCCTCCTCCTCCTCCTCCTCCTCCTCCCTCCTCGTCCTCCCCCTCCTCCTCCTCCTCCTCTTCCTCCTCCTCCTCCACCTCCTCCCTCCTCCTCCTCCTCCTCCCTCCTCTATCTCCTCCTCGTCCTCCCGTTCTCGTGTTACTCAGGACTCGACGTCCTCCCCCTTCTCCTCCCTCTCCCCACCTCTCCGTTTACGTCTCCGTCTCCATCTCCGTTTTGTTCTTTCTCTCTCTTTCTCTCTCTTTCTCTCTCTTTCCCTCCGGCCGCGGCGACGACGACGAGGACGACGGCGGCGACAACCGCCGACGGCGGCGGGGGCGTCCTGAGGAGGCCGACCTGTTCGCGCCCGGGGCGCCCCTCCCGAGCATCGACGGGGAGCGGCGGGGGGTCCCCGCGGCGGAGGAGGAGGAGGAGGAGGAGGAGGAGGAGGAGGAGGAGGAGGAGGAGGAGGAGGAGGAGGAGGAGGAGGAGGGGGAGAGGAGAGGAGGAGGACGAGGAGGGGTGAGGGAGGAAAGAGAGGAGGAGGGAGGAGGAGAGGAGGAGGAGGAGGATGAGGAAGGATGAGGATTCGTCTCGTATGCGCGTGTTAGAGGCGTGATGCTTCGTCCTCTGTTTGTCTCGGTGCTTGCGCTGTCCTCGTAGGGAGCTGGGATGACCTCGGTCAGGAGGAGGCAGAGGAGTCGGAGGACGAGGCGGCGGCTATGTGTGAGCAGTCGGCTGCATGAGGAGGAGGAGGAAAATCGGAGGTTGATCGAACCCCCACCCTGCCACGTCAATCAGCGAATCGCCCTCTTCTCGGTTCTTCAGAGGGGTGTTGCGGCCAGATGTTTAGCGGGCTTGCGCCCACCAGATCTGGTTCCGGGTCGTTTTCACCGAAGGGTGCTTTGCTCAAGGGGGCGAGGAGGGATGAGGGGAAGGAGGTGAGGAGGAGGAACAGGTCGAGAAGGTCGAGCCTCCTCCTCCTGTCGCTTTCCCCCCCCCCCCCCCTGTCAAGTCTGAAATCAGCTTGAGGGCAGTCGATCCTTGAATGGTGCAGCCGTGCCTCCCCTCCCAGTCGGGATCCAGCGATCTCGAAAACGACTCGCCTGCGACATGCCATTCAATGGGTTGGCCAGATGACCAATGCGGGGCGGAGAGAAGGAAAGGATGACGGAGGAGGGGCACCTCCTGAGTTGGGGCACGCAAGTCGGGAAGAGAGGGGGCCCCGAAACCGCAGAAGCTCTCCCCCCGTACCTCCCTGATCTCTGGCGATCAGATCTTTTGGTGGTGTTGCAAACTGGTAGGTTTTCCTCGATGGCGGCCTCCTGGGTTCGTTATCGGGCCCCGGGGCAATCCGCAATTCGTCCTGGGCGATAGGTAGCCCAGGGGAAGGGGTCGAGACCTCCCCGGGGCCGCGCAGCGCACTGGGTCGGCACCTCCCCAGGGCCGCGCACGGAAAACATTGTATGGGAGGGTGTCTGGCCCTCCCCTCCCCACCCCTTCCTTGCGGTGTGGGGCAGGCGTCGGCGGCAGCGTGGGGGGGGGGGTCCCTCGCGTCCCCGTGCCAGGAAGCCGGATCCCCGCGCCGCGGCCAGCCTGGGCGGGAGCCAGGTACGCACGTGCGGCCAGATGCCCTTCCAGCGCTCGGCCCGTACAGGGGCCGTGCGCGCTGGGCTTCCGCACCCGCCTCGGGCGTGTGGTCTCTCCGGGTGCCCCGCGCGCGAGTCCGGCCATGTGCGACTGCCAGCCCCCCTCGGTAAGAGTGCCGCGGGAAGCCCTCCTCGCCTCGTCAGCCCTCACGCCAGAGGCCTCTCCCTCCCCGTCCTCGGGCGCGGCGCCCGACGCGCGCGCCCGCAGGGCCGCGGTGTTCTCCGGGCCCTCGGGGAGGCCTGGTCCTCACGAGCCCGGGGGCGTCTCAGCAGTGTCGACGGCGGCGGTCATGCGAGCGCCCGCTGCTGCAGCCGGGGAGAGTGGCGCTGGACGTCCTCCTCGGTGACGATGGCAATTGCGATGACGATGGCGATCGTCATCGTCATCAGCATCAGCATCAGCATCGTCATGGTCATCGTCATCGTCATCGTCATTGTCATCGTCACCATCATCACCATCATCAGCACCATCACCATTACCATTACCATCACCATCACCACCACCATCACCATAATCATCATCATCAGCATCATCATCACCGCCACCACCATCATCATCATCATCATCATCATCATCATCATCATCACCATCACCATCATCATCATCATCATCATCACCACCAACCTCAATAACATCATCACACTCATCATCATGGTCACCACCATCATCATCATCATCATCATCATCATCATCATCATCATCATCATCATTACCATTACTAGCATCATCATCATCATCGTCATTGTCATCGCCATCGTCATCATAATCTTCATCACCATAATCAGCATCATCAGCATCATCATCACCATCACCCTCACCATCACCATTATCATCAGCAGCATCGCCGTCGTCATCATCACCACCATTCTCATCATCGTCACCATCATCTTCATCGGCATCATCATCTTCATCATTGTACTGATCATCACCATCACCACCACTATCAGTACCATCACCACCATCATCATCACCACCATCATCATCATCAACATCATCATCACCACCATCACCATCATCGTCATCATCACCACCATCACCATCATCATCATCACCACCACCATCATCATCATCATCATCATCATCATCATCATCATCACCATCATCATCATCATCATCATCATCATCATCATCACGACCACCACTTCCTCGTGCCACACGCCTGTCCTTCCCCGCCTCAGAGGCGCAGCGCCCGCAGCGCGTGCCCGCAGGGCCGCGGCGCTCCCGCGGGGCCCTCGGGGTGTCGTGCGCCCCACGTGGCCCGGGCCGTTGGCGGTGGTGGTGGCCTCGCTGGCGGAGCCTTTGACGGCGGTGGTGACTTTTGGTGTGGGCCCATTGGGGTCCCCCGATCGCCGAGCGCGATGCGATAGGAGCGTCTTGCGCACTGGTGTTTGGGCCCCCCCCCGCGGCTTCCCCCAAGCCGCGTGCCAAAGGTCGCTCTTGCCTGCGGTCACTCTTGCGTGTAGCCGGCACTGGTGCAGCTGGCACGAGGGTTCAGACTCCAAGGCGGGGTCATCCGTTGCCACCGCCTGGGGATCGTTCTTCGGGGACCTCGGCAGGCTGTGGGCATGGATATGCTCGGGCCCTTCTTGGCCCACGTTCTTGAGGCCATGCTTCGACCGTAGATTGTGCAGGACGCCGTGCAGGTCGCGCGCAGGTTTCTGCTGCATTCTCGGCGGGGGGGGCAGTCTGGTTCTGGTTGCCGCGCTTTTGTCGCGCGCGCCCATCGGTGGTGATTCGGTGGCGCGCTGAGGGGGGAAGTGAGACGAGGCTTACCTTCTCAGAAGGCGGGGGGGCTTCTCAGAAGCCCCGTGGAGTTCCGATAAGGCCCTCGGAGGAAGCTCCGAGGCTGCAGGCTTTCTGAGCACTCTGAGAAGTTCCGCCCCCTCTGCCTTTTCCCCCCTGGGCGCGCTGCCGAGAAAGGGATGGCCTTCTCTGGTGGAGAGTGGGGGCCCGCACGGGCGGACGGTCGGCGTGTTTTTTTTTTTTTTCCTTCATAGCGTGGCTGCATAGTGTGGCTCCCCACAGGTCGGGACCCCTTCCCTGGGACGTTTTCTTCTCATCCCATGCTGTTTTTGACGGTGCTGGCGGAGGAGATTTTCTCCCCCTCCAGCAGTTGTCTGTCGGCCCCAGGGCCTGCAGAGGCTCCCCAGATGCTGACGCTTGCCAGCATTTTCGTGTCAAGCTTTTTCAAGTCTCGAGGGGGTCTGGGGTTGGACCACTTTCTCGTATTTCGCTTAGTTTGTTCCGTGGTGCAGTTGACTACGACGCCACCGCCAGATGAAGCAATGCCTAAAGTAGGTTTTCGCCGTCGAGCGATTATTCTGCCAGCCCCCTTGCCAAAACTCGATAGAGCACCTCATGCACTTAGTGGTTCACCAGGAGGCGCCGTCGCCCAAATACAGTTCACAAGTGATAGCCTTTCGCATCCAGGCAATTTGAGGCGGCACCTGGATCGAAGACATTCGACGTCGTGTGATTTTTTCGCAGCGTGGCTTCCCAGAGGTCTGGACCCCTTCCCTGGGACGTTTTTGTTTTCCATCACTCGTCGATTCTTGACGTCCCCGGGCTGGGACCCCCGGGGCCCGCTGAGGGCCCTAGGAGGCCGACAAGGATAACAAAAGCTGTCCGTCGTGGTTGCTTCAAGGCCCGAGGGGGCCCGGGGGGTCGGACCACATCCAGCAGAGCGCCTCGTGCCCCAGCGCAGCGTACACGCATCAAACGTAGGAAGAAAAACAACAACTTTCATGGAATCCAGATTTCGCCTAAGAATCTGGATTGGACCCTGGGCGCTTTCCTGGAGCTTGTTTTTGTCAGTATAAGCTTCGTCTATCTGGACCTCAGATGCCTCGATACGCCCGTCTTGAGACGCAACACGTAGCACGCTTTAGCAAAAACCGTGTCAACACGCTGCGTGTTGGCTCAGCGTATTGGCCCCCGTCTTGGCGAACGCACCGCGTCAGACCTGCCTGAGCTACGTGTTGAGCTCCGCACCAATGCGCCACGTGTCGCGGGTTGCGTCACGGGGCAACTACGACCTGGACCTCGGAACTCATGCGCGCAATTCAGCGTTGGAGTTTAGCGCTGTGCCGGATGAGAAAGTGGTGGTCTCGGGCTGTGTCGAAGCCGGGCCACGTCGATCAAGTCATCGGATCCCCGCTTCTGCGGACGTCTTTCAGGTGATGGACTGCCGTCGAAGCAAACGCCTGGCGCGAAGCCCGTGCTCTCAGCGCCGAGCTCTCTCACCTCCGAGAGCAGCTGGCGGCGCGCACAAGGGGGTACGGGGGAGGGGGAAGGCTTCTCAGCAGGAGTCTGCCTCTGAGACGGCGCCGGCCTTGCATCTAGAGGTGAGGCCCGCGCCTTCGAAGAAGCAGGGGCGCTTCTTAGAAGCTTCTTAGAAGCCAGGAGGAGGAGGAGGAGGAGGAGGAGGAGGAGGAGGAGGAGGAGGAGGAGGAGAGAAGCAAGGGGCCCCCTCTGCGCGCCGCCAGAGCCGGGGCGCGGAGCGCCCCAGCCGGGCCGCGCCGGGCGGGCCCCTCTAGCGCGGGGGCCGCGCCCGCCGCTCCGCCCTCGCCGGCCCCTCGGCGGTGCGCGGGGCCGGGCCCTGGCACCGAGCTCGCGCCGCGCTGCTCGCAGAGGGCCTGCTCGCAGGGGGGGACGAAGCACACAGACACAATGAAGCGTCCACTCCCAGGAAGATATGGGAAAACATGGGGATTGGGGGGGGAAGACAAAAAACCCAGAACACATGG